TGTAGCGAGGTGGGTGTTGGTCTCTTCTCCCAAGTAACTAGCGACAGGACAAGAGGAAATGGCCCCTCAAGTTGCGCATGGGGAGGTTTAGATTTGACGTGAGGAAAAATTTCTTTACTGAAAGAGTAGTTAAACATTGGACCAGGCTGCCCAGGGAAGTGGTTGAGTCACCATCCCTGGAGGTATTTAAAAGACGGGTAGATGAGGCGCTTAGGGACATGGTTTTGTGGGCATGGTGGTGTTGAGTTGATGGTTGGACTCAATGATCTTGGAGGTCTCTTCCAACCTTAATGATTCTATGATTCTATTTTGAGTGAATCACAGTTTTATGGTCAGTGTTAACTCTAACCTTAACTGATGGTATAGGACAGGAGAGAGAATTTATTCATAAGATAGTCACGAAGCAACCAGCATCACAGTTCAGCATCAACCCTTTCCATTGCCTTTGAGGAAGACCTGGGAATCATCTGTGCCACTGGTTGCTGTAGGCACCCACTAGGAAGCTCCCTTGAAACAATACCTCATCAGCACTATAAAATAGGTGACTTTTAAAACAGTGTATTACCAGAAAATTCCATTTTCATTTAGGCAAGGTTTTAAATACTTTAAATGGCTCAGGCAAACCCTAGGTGGAGCTAAAGATTTGCCATGTCCAGTTAATGTATGTACTAAAAATATACTTGTTTTGATTACACTAACACGTGTAACACATTTTTATGAAAACCACATTTTTACACAGGGACTACACTATCTGGATAATTGTAGCAAACTCCTGAAATAAAGTAAGGGTAACAATTTTTAGATAAATTGCTGCAAGCAGGGATATGAGCTTACAGGAGCACAACAAGCCCAGACTCAGTAAAGACAACAGCGTCCATTTCCTCCAGCTTGTACACTACACACAACCCTTGTACTGCCTGCACTGAACCCAAGCCAGGTATTTCTCAGTCAAGCCCCCAGCCTGTCTAGATATTGTAAATGTTACCACTTACCAATAGTGTAAATGTTAACTCTCATCAATGCACATATAAATGTACTCCCTTGTCTTTAATACTCATCCAGAACCACCACATGATTTTAATACCTACAAAAATGTTCCCAAAAGACCTTATGTTGCCAGCCACCTGCTCCTGGTGAAACCTTAAATTAAGGGAGAGTTAAATTTCCGTGTTGCCTTGTGCTCCTGCTTCTCAATGTTCCTATTCACCTTCACTCTACTCTAGAGAGTATGTACATCCCCAGCAGAGCTTGGCTTATTAACACTTGGCAATATGGAGCTGCTCTGTCTCTTGTCTAGCCTCCTGTTTCTGCTGAGGGACAGTACCTCAAAATCTCTGTTGCAATTCTTTATACAACACTACCCTAGAAGTAGAGCTCTAATTTTAGAGAAGGCAACTGAGACAAAAGAGGAAATAAAAAACCAAAAGTCACTCAGGGATGAGCCAGGTCACACCGAGGAAGGACCTCCTCACAGCACTTCAGGGCAGGCTGCAGAAGCACGCTTTCTGAACCAGCCCACCTTTTCTCACCTGTGCGCTCCATTCCCTGCCCTGGTGGCACCAGGGACAATACTGCGCTCCCAGTTCATCTCGCCAGTTGTGTACTGCAGCATACATTTGAAGGACACTTCTTGCTGACAGTTTCAGAAGATGATTTTATTTATCTTTATAATAATCTTAGCTTGTGTCACTCCAACTGTGGTAAATGGAGCTATACAGTCCCTACAAATCAGACATGCTATTTATCTCAACATAGCCGTGAACTTAACAGGCTGCATTTATAGTGTATGAAAAATGTTTTTCTGTTCTGTTCTAAATTTACTCTCCTTTAAGTTAATCAAGTTCTTTTGTTCACTTCTTCAGCAGCTGCTAAAGAGAAAGAAACAAGAGTGTGTTTAAATACTCTTCTCTGAACTGTACGTGAAAACACTGGATGAAATCTCAGTCCACTGAGGTCGTAAGGATTTCTGCTAGGGACTTCATGGGGCAGACTTTCATCCTCTGCTTTAAGCTGAAATGCTCTTCCCAGAATTTGATCTTATTGGAATAAAATAAAAATTCTCCTCTGCTCCTATTTCAGCTGTTTAGCTGCTGTTTTTAAGAACCCTTCCAAGACATATTTCAGCTTCTTACAACAGATTGGTGCCACAAAGGTACACCTACGAGAACGAGTCAGGAGTAATTAATTGAGAATTGCAGCATTTCAGCTCAGGTTGGCTGAGCAGAGACAGGTTCACGGCCCTGAGAACCGTGCCACTGCTAAAAAGATTAACATTAAGTATTGATCATGGCAACTTCAAACTCTCCCTAACACAATGTTGGACATGATTCTCTTACTGCTTTGGAGGAGGTTTGATCTCCTGCTAATGAAGTCTAGATATCTTGCTCTCTCACAGCAGTATCATATACTAGCATCTGCTTTCAACAGGGTCCCAATAAGGTAAACCCAGTCCAAGTGATTTTAGCTAACCTAAGTCATAATTAACACTGCCTATGTTAGCACAAGGCCTGACTTTGCATTTACGGAGGGCAAAAAGCTTACATTCTTACTGTCTTAACACAAATAAACTGTGGTAAATGTTTTTGTAGGTTGTGCACCATTGTATCTACATAATAAATAAAAAAAACAAAACAAAGAACATTCATGCTTCAAGGATCCAAGGGGCCTTGAATCCCTGGGTCTCAACTGTTTTTTGTTTGGGGTTTTTTTTTCAAAATCATGCATTTTTGTAATATTAAAAATTCTATATAACACTGAAAAAGTCTTTAACTTCACAGAGTTCACATATAACTAGGCACAAATAAGTAAAAAAGAGGAAGAGATTAGTAGAAACACCAGAGAAAAGCAACACATTAAAAAAGGACAAGAATTACATTAAAGTCCTTTTAGTAAGTAACTGTAAAACATTGTGAGAAGTGAGAAAGCTTTCAGTCCAACTATGAGAAAATGAGAATGTATGAGGGTTTAGTAGAACCATGCAATTTGGCTTGCATAAGCAACCAAACTGTCCCACTTCAGTCTCCTCTTTTGCCTGTCCTAAGGCAGCTTCACCCATGGGTTTGAAGGGACTCCCTTACTATCCTCCCCGATAGGAAGTGGAAACTGAGTTCATTGGCACCTTCTACATAAGCAGCAAGAATTACAATCCGCACAGAGCAGTAAGACATTCCCAAAGACTTAAATCTCCCATTCATTAAACAGTTATACATTTCCCCACATCATCCTGCTGATTTGTGAAGACGATGCTGATCTCTTATTGTTCAAGGAATGGGAAAAAGACCTTTGATTGAACTTTGCAATTCTGTGTCTGTCAGAATCGGTATCCCTCTACTCACCTTAAACTCTTTTTCAATGTTGGCAAGCACGGCCAACTCATTGCTGAGCTCTAAGGCAGTCATTACAGGGTCTTCACTGGACAAAGACAGATAAGCAGGGCTGGCCAGACCTTTGTAGGCATTGATTCTGGACCTAGAATGGCTGAAAGAGTCATGCTTTTGTTTCTGATTGCATTCACTGCACTTGCAAAAATAGTCATGTGGCCTATCGATCCGAGCTCCTTTTCTCAGCAGAGTGTGGACAATCTCATACTCATGGCAGTGAGCAGCTAGAATGATTGGTGTAACATCATGGGAAAACCGTGTGCCATCTTCGTCGTATGCATAGAAGTCATCGTGCTGGAGCTCCGACTGGCTAGGACTCAATGCAAGCCTCTTGCCTTCGGCAAATGCGGGATGGTTTAGGATGGCTTCCACTATCCGAACATAACCTTTGCTAATAGCCAAAAGCAAGGCATCCCCAACCCGAGACAGGTTCTCCTTCTTCAGCAGAAGTTCTGTGATCTCCAGGTGCTCATTGGCAACTGCCAGCTGCAAGGCATTCTGCCCCATATAGTCCACACAGTTCACATTGAGTGAGGGACATTCTTCCAGCATTTTGCGAATCACTGGAATATTTCCATATTCTGCTGCATCCAAAAAGCGCTCCTCCTCAAGAGAAAGACTTGTTGAGTGGTCATTAAACATATACGCTGGCCCTCGACTGGCCTGCCTCCTCCCCTTCTCCCGGAGAATGGTCTGCCGTCGTAGCGCTAGTCTATTCTCGTTGCCTCGGCTGTGTGGAAATAGAGAAATTATTAGTTCTGTTGTATGCAAGGGCATATCCATTTTAAACATTAATAAAAATATTTTAATCATTTATCTTCTGCATATTTTTAATGCAGCAGGGATACCAGAAACCCTGACTTTGATGCACTTTGTAACCACTGTCACTACACAGTCCTGTAGCCAGCTACATTTTATTTCAACAAGAAGAAAAAGCCCTAGTCAATCTTCATTTAAGACTACACTTTTTTCCCTATTTCATCCTCCACAGCTTTTGCGTAATTTTTAGTGAAGCTGGATTGTGCTTCACGTTACATAAGTAGAATAACAGTTTCAAAGGTAAGGTTCTTTCTCAGGTTTACACAGAAATCCCTCTCTGCTTTTCCAGCACTCTTCTATCCAAACTTCTCATCATCATTCGGTATCCCACACATCCCCCTGATATGTACGGTCACTTCATGAAAAAAGTGCTTCCTGTTTTAATCTAGAAAAGAAGAAAGCATTATAACATTTTTACAAGATTTCACTTTCTGATTACAAGAATATTTTCAACAGAAAACATTCAGCTAGGTTTGAGAATTGCTTCAAGAGCAAAACTATGTTTTCTCGGGATGAATGTACTACTTTCTGACATCTTTGCTAGATCAAGCAGATATTTTGAAGGACTTCACTGGAACAACTGGGTATCAAAAAAAAGAACACCAGATCTCAAGTTCGTTGTTTAGATATATATTTTAAATACAAAGATGACCTGGAGAATAGCGATGACATGCAATGACTGCCTCAGTCCAGAGACAGCTGGTATCAACCGCACAATGCAGTGAGAATAGCCCACATCTGCTCAGCTGGTAGGAGGAGTCCCAGTGACACCACATGACCCTAGGTGCCCTCAGGTGGCCCTTCTGAAAGCCACCATCCCCTCAGGATGCCATTCACCCAAAGTTCTTTACTTGGTCTACTTTGGTGCTAAGTCACAGCTCAGAGTGAAGACAAGTCACGGTATGAAAGGAGTCAGCAGTCGCAGGATGAGGAACGAGGGATTGCAGAGCACAGCAGGGCACACAAACATGGACGCTCTCTAAATTTCCTTCTGCCTCAGAAAAGCAAGCAGGCTGACTTCACTTGCTCTTATTATTCTTATTGCCATCACTACTCTGACAACTATCTAACTTACATTTTGGATCTGGTTTCTCCTCTTCACCCTGATGATGTTTTTGTGAAAACCGTAATTGAATGCTCAATTATAAATTGAAATCTGTACAAGATAAAAGCATATTGACTACACTGTATGACATGTGTTACTCCCCGTCTCCACCATCCTTTTCATTATTACATTCATTATAACCTTAATATCTTATTTATTCCTCCACTCTGTGGCTTGTCACCAAACCCTGCCAATTCTTGCTTCATGATAGCTCTGAAATGTTATCTGTTCTTCTATTTCTACTACTGAAACCCTCAGCCATTCTTCACCTCTTGTATTAATTATTAATTAATTAATAATTAATTATCAAAACATAAAGTGAACCATATCAAAGCTGAATTTGCTGAGAAATGCTACAAAATATGCTACATTCTCTTTAACAAGAAGAAAATCTAATTCATGACTCTCTTATTCCAGTCAACTAGGATTCCAATCCTCAATAAATACTCAATTGCAAATCATTTTCTCTCCTAGAATTACCCTGCTAAACTACATAATATTCACTACAACTTAATCTTTTTTCTTTTTGAATGGTAGCTTAATGATTCTTTACATCCATATGCTCAAATACACTTCACTATTTTCAGTATTTCCCATAAAATAATAAGCACAAGCAATATTTTATTCATTAAATATTTATTAATGAATATGAATTTAAATATTTAAATGACAGTCAACAAATCAGTCCTTTGTGACTCAACACGTCTTCACAAAAAGTAACATTACAAGATATTATTTCTTCTAGATTGTTTATATTTAACTTTAGTATAAATTTCCTTTTTGCCTCTTGCCTTCTCAGTTCCAGAGATAGAGTCCTCTGCAGCGCTGGAAATGCTTCAAATTGCCAAAGTCTCAGATCTAAAAGGACAATTTTTTTGCAAGATAATCACAGGTATGGAATGTGGAATATATAAAAATTGACAACTATAACACTGTTCAATATGCAGACAGTATTAATACCGTGCTACAATGGCAAGTTTACAGTCTCAGTTTGGACTATGTCTATCATTTCATGACATGGAAGTTAGAGCCCATCCTCCTCTACTCCTCAAGATCTCTACGAAGGCTATCTCAGTTACTGTGGGTTCAAAGCATATGAGAGAGCACAGATATATGCTAATGTCTTATAGGTGAATATGCTATATGGCTGACTGAAATTTTTCCATGCATATTTCCAGATATTTTAAAAGAAAAAAAAATTATATTTGTTGAAAAGACAGCCTTTGGAGAAGAAAGGCTTTTCACAGAAAACAAGAAAACTGAAAGAATGAAAATATTACTGGCATCGGTGACAATACTGGTACCAAAAACTGAAATTCACTAAATAGAAGCCAGTCTTTTGATATACGTACAAGTGTTTAACTGGAAATGCATGTGCTAAATTGGAACAGGGATGAAATGGTAGAAAGGAGAGATCACAGCTGAGAAAGCAGATGACTGGCTCCCCAGTTTTGAAAGTTATACCTTAAAGGACTGTAACGTGGTTCTGAAAAGTTTCTTCAAAGGTGGAATATGAGAGTGTATTGGTAGGCTGAAAATCAGCTGGGAGACAGGAAAGAGAAGGAAGTTCAAGATGAGGGGGGAAAAATGAGAAAGAAAAGAATGTAAGGGGAAATTTTAAAACCTGCTGGGTTTTAAGATTTATGTACTGAATAACTTTCAAGAGATGACCAGAGCAGGACCATAGGGAGAGAAGTTCCCTAATTTCCATAACAGAGTTAGTTCTCAAAAAATGAAGGACTTAAATACCCCAATGAAGTTAAATCCTACAGTCAAGGGTTTTAAATCGGGCTATATCTTTCTTGAGTTTTACAGCTTCCTGGAAAAGAGAGGCTCAGTGTAATAATCATAAAATTTTGAGAAAAAATGTTTAGTTGATTCTGATCAACTGCTCAGGACTGATTTTCATTCACCATTGTCCTTGCATATCCAGATTGTGCAATGCTTGGAAAAAAATACATTTTCATAGTGAAATGAACTAGAGCTGAAGTAAAAACAAACAATACATACTGTAATTACGCATCTTGTACATGCAAATTTAATTAAACATGGTTTGGTTTTAGAGCTTAACTGATAAAAAATAAAGTTTCTTTAGTGTAACATTACAAATTTATGAAAAAAAAGATACAAAAACTTTGACTGTACTGTTTTTTTGACTTTTTACAAATGTGATGTCATGGCAGTTCACTGAATTGTGAATTGCCACTTCTTCTTAGGAGATATTTGGAAAAGCAAGTATACCTGGGCTGGACAGTTGTCAGTAAGATATATAAATGTTTTTTAATTATTCTTTTCTTCTACTGCACTTTTAATGAACTATCATATTGTTTCTTTGATGCATACTGCTCTGCCCTTTTGGCATTCTATAGTTGAGTGTATAAATGCAAGTTAGTAAAATCTTCATAGGAGGCAGGCCTAAACAAACAGGAAGAATAAAGCATGGTTTGGTCAAAAACAGCATTTCTAGATGAAATATAGATAAGAACGGTGACATTTAAAGTGATTACTTTAAAAAGGAATACCTTTGGTATCAGTTTAGAAAAATATAGCAAGCTTACAAGATTCAACATATATATACAGGAAAACTAGGATAAACATAAGAGCATATAGCTTTTTTGTGAGCTGCAGTTCCACAGTTTGTAAGATTTGTATTTATTACTAATAAAAAAGTTTGCTTTCAAAATTAATTTACACATAGAACTAAACATTGCCCTGCTGGCATTTAAATATTTTGTGCTGTTTGAAAGAAGAGTAAATGTTTCTCTACTAACAATTTGGAAAAACTATTTATTACAAAATATCAAATAATTAAACTTACTGTGATATGTAATAGTTACACGTAGCTGTAACTGTGCTTGCATCATTTAGATTGCTTTGATATTATATAGTCAACTGTTTATTTTACTTATATTTGAGTTGTGCCTCCTGTTCCTACTTCTTTTACAGTAGAAGCTATAATGCTGTTTGGATTCCACAGGGCTAAACAAGTTAGGATAGCAAAAGGTGAAAACATCCACCTCTATCTGAGAAGTTACTGTGTGATTCAGCTCTTGACTTGAATAAACTGTTACACTCGGGTTTTTTTGGAGTACCAGTAGCTCAGTTTCTCTTTAAGTTGTTTTATGTCAAATGTGTGTATTATCACAATAACAAAATGCAAGTTTTATTATTCAAATGAATGGCACGTCTTTTCAGTGTTTGCCATGGAGTCAGAGAACTCCAACTGCAATGGAATAGCAGGACATATCCTACAGCAGTTAATCACACCTCATGTAGGTTCAAGTTTCCTGTCCAATTAATGAAATTAAAGTAAAAAATTCTATTATATGCTGATCAGTTCTGAAGCTATTAATCCCCTTCCATAGTTCTTTACTCTGTTCAATAAAAGCTGTCGTGGTTTAACCTCAGTCGGCAACTGAGCACCACACAGCTGCTCGCTCACTCCCCCCCCTGCCCCCGGCAGGATGGGGGAGAGAATTGGAAGAGTAAACAAAAGTAGACAAAAGCCATTATAGGTGTTAACATTTTCTCAGTGTGAGTTTTGCAGCTGACTCAACTGGCAGCAGAAGCAGGCAATGAGTAAAGTAACCAGTGTCTATCATATACTGATCTTTAATCTATTTCTTACATTTAGCAAAGGAAAAGCTTTAAGATATTTTAATTAACACAAGCAGATGTCAGCATATCAGCTGCTATAGGTGTCCTTATCTGTACTTCT